TTTTGAAGTAAACTTCAACCAATCAACCTTTTGCATTTTAAAATTATTTGAAAATTTAGATTTAATATACAAATTCTTCATTATATTGGTTTTAATAATACCGGTGGCAACAATAATCTGTTTCAATGGACCATAAGTTATTTTTTAGGTATGAAAAAAAAATTACCACACCACCTTGCTTAAAAATGCACTATTGAAAATTTATATTTAATATAGAATCATGTGTCTATCCTTTGAAGGTTAAAGGGTGGTAACCCCCTCCAAAAATTATTTGCAATGTTAGATTCTTTTTAGCTGCCCATAAAATATTTAATTTGATGACCTGTTTTCCATTTGTTCATGAATATTTCTGAGATTAGTAATGCAAAAAAATATATGGAGTATTTCGAGTTAAACAACAATTTCTTTACAATAATTTTTAATAGTTTCAATGAATATGAGTGTTTATCTTCAATGAATCACTCTGTATTACTATTATAAATTGAACTAAATTTAATATTTTTTGTTAACCATTGATATCTTGAAAATTATTCTTAAAAATGTATGCTTTTATGAATATATATCTTGTATACATTTATAGGTCTGCTGTTTAGTGTGTCGATTATATTCCAAAACTTATGACCCTTTTTTGGATATTTCATTGGATATTCCTGATTACACTGAATCTGACAAACAATTAGCAATGCGTCCAATGGATACATTAACTGGTATGTACTTATATTCTAATTTTTTAATAAAATTTATTAAGTTTATATTTTATTTTTTAAGATTGTTTATCTCGATTCATTGAAATTGAAGAACTCGCTGAAAATAACTTTTATTATTGTAATGGTTGTAAAAGTAAACAAAAATCAACCAAAAAATTCTGGATAAGCCAACTACCCAATGTAAGATAGATTTTATTAAATACATTATTTTATATTTTATTTAATAATAATAATTACAATTACAATTAATATTTTATTATAGGTTCTTTGTTTACATTTAAAAAGATTTAGATGGGTCAAAGCACAACGTATTAAAATTCATACTCCTATACAGTTTCCAATTGAATCCTTAGACATGTCTCAGTTTTTATTAAGTGACAAACGAGTAACTATTGACAAAGAAGACTGTTTGTATGATTTGTCAGCTGTCATTGTTCACGAAGGCAATGGGTAAATTTACTTTTACAGTAAAATAAATTATATTTTTTTAATTTATATAATTAATTTGTAGTGGTGGATCTGGCCATTATACCTCTTTTGCAATTGATAAAGGTATTTAATTTTCTAGATAATCTTATAAAAATTCATTTATAAAAACAAATGTTTTTTAAGATGTTATGTTTTTTAATTTTAGGCGAGTGGTTTGAATTTAATGATGAAAAAGTTCATGAGGTTAATTCGTCAATTGTACAAAATGTAGAGGCGTACATACTATTTTATATTAAAAGGAAAACTAGATTAAGATCTCAAAGTCTTTTGGGTGGTAGACACATCATTAACAATGAACTATAATTGGTAGATATAATGAAAAATTATTAGTTAAATGTAATTTTTGTATTACATTTTGATCTTCAAGATACAAATAAAAAATATAAAACAATAAAATTGCCTTAAACTAACAGTATTCTTATTATTGTAAGTGTGTTTCAAGCTTTAAATTATTGTTGTAGATTATATTTCATAATCAATCAATTGTGTAAATAAATTCGTATTTTTATATTGTAAAATTATAACATGTAAATACACATAATATATAAGTGGGAAATGCAATATTTGTATTTGAAAACCTAAATTAATTGAAAAAAA